TTTTACCACTTTTTTCACCGCAAACCTGCGGGCAAGCACCGCATTTATCTGGCAGATACGGCGCTGGCACGTCAGCAGGGCTACGCTGCGGTACGCAAGGCTTTGGAAGAAGCGGCCGGAGCTACTACAGGCAGTGTGAGCAAGTCGGGTGAGTTTGGTGTATTTGCGACTACTTGCGTGGGCTTGTCTGACCAGGAGCCTGCCATGCTGGTAGATGATGTGGTGTTTACGCGCCTGACTCCGGCTAAGGTGCAAAGCGTGGTCGAGCAACTTAAAGCTGGCAAGAGTGCAGCAGAAATTGCCAATCCGGCGCAACACCCAGCAAACACACAAGCCTATGTAGATGCCTTGGTACATGGCGAGGTACAACAAGCAGATGCAGTGTATTTCGCACCGGAGGAAGATTTGGCTGCACCAGTGGAAGTGCTGAAAGCCATGCTGCAAAAAACACCGCAAGCATTGTTGAATGAGATAAAGGATGCAGGCATACTGGGGCGTGGAGGGGCAGGCTTTCCTGCAGGCTATAAATGGCAACTGGTACGCGATACTCCTGCTGCCCACAAATACATAATATGCAACGCCGATGAGGGCGAACCCGGAACTTTTAAAGACCGGGTACTCATGACGCGCAAACCCGAACTGGTATTTTTGGGCATGGTGTGCGCTGCTTGGGTCGTGGGTGCGCAGCTTGGCGTGTATTACTTGCGCTATGAATATCGCTACATCCAAGCGTATCTGGAAGCTGTATTGCAACGCATGCGCAGCAGCAACTGCTTAGGCAAAAGCATAGTGGGTAAGGAAGGTTTCGACTTTGACATCCGTATACAACTGGGTGCAGGAGCCTATGTGTGCGGTGACGAGTCGGCCTTGTTGGAGTCTATGGAAGGTCGCCGCGGTAGCCCACGGGTAAAACCACCCTTACCTGCCGTCAAAGGTTATTTGGGACACCCCACGGTAGTGAACAATGTAGAGACCTACGCCGCTGCTGCCCGTGTAGTTGAAAAGGGTGTGCAGTGGTTCAAAAATATGGGTACAGAGCGATCCAGTGGCACACGACTCATCAGCGTGTCGGGCGACTGCGCACGCCCTGGTGTGTACGAGGTACAGTGGGGCATTACCCTAAGGACTTTGCTGGATCTGGTCGGTGCACAAGACGCTGTCGCTGTACAAGTCAGCGGGGCCTCGGGCGAGTGCGTTAACGTTGCCCATAAC